AGATCCCTTATCTGGGCCGGCCTGGTGGCGCACTGCTACAGTGCGCCGCTTGGGAGTGCGGTGGCACTCCCGCCGAGGGTTCGGATCCCACATACAGACCGGTTCCCGCTCACTGGCTGAGCGAGGTGTGGGCGCAGCGCCGAGGGTTGCGATCCTGTTGCCGGTCCCGGCCCGGTACGGGCGCGACACTGAGGGTTGCAATCTGTTGCCGGACACGAAAAAAGACAAAAAGGAAAAAAAAAAAAAGATCCCTTATCAATGGCACATCAGCAGCCCCAATTTATGGCAAAGAAAAGGAGTCTGATGATGGAATTTCTACTCCTGACTAGAAGCAGGTATCTGCATCAGATCATTTAACTTCCTGACACTTGGTCCCCTCATCTGGGCTTCAGATGTGACTGCCTAGGTTTTGTTTTCTTTTTTTGACAGCTGGCCAAACCCTTGACCTTGGTGTTAAAGGTCGCGCTCTAACCAAATGAGCCAACTGGCCAGGCTAGGTTTGAAATCTGGTTCACCACTTAGTGAATCAGTGGCTGACTCACTAAATGGTGATCAGTGGAAATGAGTTACACATATTATAAGTGTTTAGCATAGTGCCTGGCACAGCAAGTGTGACATTACTATTACCGTAATTACTACTATTACCTGTGAAATGGAAATAGCTACTCTAACCCTGTAAGTCTATGCTGAAGATTAAATAAAGTGTAAGAGCCACTCTGTATATGGTAAATGACATCAAAATAGGAACTTTGTTGTCACAAGTACACAGTAAGTGCAGTGTCTATTAAAAAGAGCTGATAATACAGCCAAAACTGGGAGGTGGGGGGAGGACTTTATTTTTCCCTTCCAAGTTACTTTTTACTAGCATAACTGTTCACAGTAAAACTTTTATTTCCTGCTATAAGAAACTTCATTTTCCCTCTGCAAGTAGCAAGCTATACATGTCTGTTTGCTTCTTGATCAGACAGCTGAAGAAAACAAACAAAAGTGGAGCCCAGAAATAGGAAATGTTGGGGCCGGCCCGGTGGCGCACTGGATAGAGCGCCGCTTGGGAAGCGCGGCTGCGCTCCCGCCCGAGGGTTCGGATCCCACATACAGACCGGTTCCCGCTCACTGGCTGAGCAAGGCGCGGGAGCAACACCGAGGGTTGCAATCCCGTTGCCGGT